TTAATTCTGCTCATTTCCTATGTTTTGGATGTGTGTATTCTATAGATGGTAGTGGATAGGACCTAACAGTAAATGTTTGTACATTACTTGAAAGTCTGGAGAGCTTCTGGAAAGTTTCAGAGGAAGATTGGAATAGACAGTATCAGTTCTTGTGTGCTCAGATAATGTAACTCTGATTCTGTTTAAAAATATCCTGCTAAGGAATATTATCTTAATTAAAGAGGTTGTATAAGTAGAAATAGCTGTATTTTTTTACTTATCTAGGCTTTATGAATCCACAAATATAGTAAGTATGTAAGCAAGTCCAAGCCTGATGTTCTGTGGATGAGAACTGGTGACAGAAATTTGGGTGAGGCTGTTACGAGGACAACAGCTCTCACTGGATGTCCCACTGACTTTGTCACTGCTCAACAAGATTTTCTGTTCTTCTTCTTGACCTGTCTGTGGCAGCACTTACTGCTCAAGAGGCAGATGTGATCTGCTTTACATTCTCCCACCCCTGCAGATTTTAAATTCCTTGCATTTTCTATGTATAAATAGCTGACTGTGTTTCCAGCAGCTCAGTGGGAGTCACCCTGTTTGCAATGCATCTATTTAGCTGTTTGAAAGGAAAATTTCAGAGTCATTTTGAATACACCATTTTTTTATTCTTGAAAGGCTTGCATCTGATTTTAGCAACTATGAGCAACACTCAGTATAGATCCTCAAAAGGAAAACCTGTCCATGAACAGGTGTGATGTGCACAGCAAAGACCATGTCCAGTGTTCATGCTTTCTCCCTCTCTTCTGCTTATGACCAAAAGCAAAATCTGTGAAGAAGATGCCTCTGTATGGATAAAGGCAGGAGGAAGAAACTGTTTGTAAGTTTGTCAGAAAAACACAGAAGGAAGGGGGACACTGCAGCAGAAAGCCAACGTGCTTGGCAGGATTTCTCCCCCTGATGTTGCTGGGGCTGCCAAGCAGTATGCTGAGGACATGTTAGTGTGAGGAGAGGTCTCAGCTGGAGACCTCAAGGAAAGCACAGATCAAAATACCTTTGTTAAGGCTCTCACATATCTGTGGCTACAACAAGGATTAAAGTTATGTCCTAAGAGACACACTGGAAGAAGTGCCACTTCCAAGCTGAGCCATTGCTCTGCAAAGGCAGCCTGGTGGATCAGGGTACTGTAACTTTGTGCTTCCCTGCACTGGTGAAATTAAGAGCCAAAGCCTTAAGTAGATTGGCTTTACAATGAACTCCAGCTCTCCTCTCCTCTCCTTTCCCTTCCTCTTCTCTCCCCTCTTCTCTCCTCTTTCCTCTCTCCTCTCCAGAGTGAGGCTGCAGCAGTCCCTGACCACAACAGAGAAACTGAGGCAGATCACAGCCACAACAGAAATTGTGTTAGGAGAATGCAGGGAAAACACCCTTGAATTTGCATCCCAGCAGTCTTGTCTTTGGCTGAAAACAAAATATAAACCTCTTCTAAGACAACAGGGGAAATACCTCAAGCAGGGACTGTGCCATGAGTGCTCCAATAGCTCATCACTACAGTAGGGTATATTGAAAGGCAGTGCTTCATACCAGAACCTGGTGAGTGACATAGGAAGGAAAGATCTTAGACAGTTATTATTATTTTTTTATTCCATTATAGTTTTAGCTGAATCATGAAGGCATTTGAAACATTGTGGGGAGTGCACTAAAAACAGAAGATGAGCTAGAAGGACTTGGCAGTACTTAAATGTGTTTCAGCTCTTCCCCAGACTGTGATGCAGTCTATAGAAAATGCAAGCACACTTTGCCTGGAGACATCTAGTGCTGCAAATTAGGTGTAAGAGTGAGCTGAAGTAGTAGGCCTGAAATGTTATATCTGAGTGTTCTCTGAAATATGTCTCTTATACTATTTTAAATATATGTCTCTTATACTATTACTGTGCATGTGAAGATTGTTGGGCAGCCAGCTCCAAATAGGCACAGAGAGAAGAGCTGCAGAGGCAAATACCTTCACATTACATCATTGATGGGCCTCTTTCCCAGGCATACAGCTCTGTTAAGGATTTGTCCTTGTGGCTTGTCCTGCCCTGTTGTCTGGCTCTCTTCCAAACCTGCCAAGAATTAGTTTTGTTGGTTTGTTTCTTCATAAGATTGTTGAGCTTTTTTTCTCAGATACCTTTGATAGCAACGAATTTCAGATATGCTTCCTTTAGACAATGCCCAAAAATCTAGAGAAGAAACACACTGCTACAGCCCTTTGAGAATTTAATGTTTTAATAAATTTTCACTATCTGAATGTGTTTTTTCAAATAACTATATCATTAACTTAAGAAAAGTTAAGCCTTTGTAATATAATTTTAGCTCCTCTAATCAGTAAAATATAGAATCATAGAATCAGCCAGGTTGGAAGAGATCTCAAAGATCATCGAGTCCAACCCTACCATCATTATTAGACCATGGCACTAAGTGCCACATCCAGTCTCAACTTGAAAACCTCCAGGGATGATGAATCCACCACCTCCCCTGGCAGTCCATTCCAATGCCTGATAACTCTATACTGTAGTTGCAAACGCATAATTGCATAGTTGCAATTGCATAATTTAATACATTAAGTTTCATAGACAACTAGAATAGATATTTTATAGCAAACAGGTTTTTATAGATAAATTTGATATTTAAAATATGCCATTAATTAATAAACATAGTAGCAGAGCAGCTGCAAAACATTTTTCTCATATGATCTGGGAATGAGAAGGCAAAAATTATTTTCTTTCAAGTACAAAAATTCAAGAGAAAAGCCACAGTTTCAGATCCCTGTGTGTGTCCTCCCCCTGGGTGTAACCCTGTGTAGGGTACCTGTGTACATATCCCTGGTATGTCTTAAGCTCTCATTGAAGTTAATGCCACGTGTGTGCACGAAGAACTTGTGAAACTGGATAACTAGACTGTCCTGAAAACAACTCTCTAACTGTCCACTGGCAGGTCAAGAAGAAGAACCACTGTGAAAGCAGTGTGTGCCTCCCTTACTTTAGTGTCTTAGACTTAGTTGTGCCAGCAGAACTGTTTCAATTGCACTCTGGCTCTAATTGTCTGTGGAAATCTCTGTAGGAAGAACGCAGTCTTAAAAAATGGTCATACGAAACACTGAGCATCAATATGCTGTGCATCTCTTTCATTTGTTGTGGTAAATGGAACTGAGTGTATTCAGGACTCTGACTGAAAGGGCCCAGAATAACCTGATCTTGGACCCTGCTTTGAGCAGTAGGCAGGACCAGGTATTTCCAGAAGGTCCCCACCAAGCAGACTCTTCTGTGGTTCAACAATTCTAAGTTAATGCCACTTAAACTATTACATGAAATCAAACATGAAAGTTGCCAGCTACTAGCTGTCGGCTGAAAACCACTATGGTGCACGGCAGTTTTGATTTGGACAAGGAGGGGAATTTCAGCCCTCACTGAGTTATATTTGATCATTGAGCCACCTGGATCCTTAAATTTTTAGTGTATCCTCACCTCCTGAGCTTTAGCATGTCCTTCAGGAAACAGCCAGCCAGTGTGCTTGCTGTTGTTCAGAAATACCCTGGTGTTCCATTTGTAAAAAGTATTCGTTCGTAAAAATCTAAGTCAAACAAGTATTCCGTCCCTGGCTTGCTATTTCGTCCTGCTGTGTATGGCCAGTGCATTGTTCTCAACTATGATCCTTGTTCCTTCCCTGCCTCTGCTGGCACAGGTGGGAAAATACTCAATGACTGAATAAGCTTGTGGTGAACTGTGAAAATCCTTAGTGCTCTAGGTGGCCTGAAGGAGAAATCTGTTTTCAAATTCCTCTGAGGTTTTTCTGTTTCCTCTGAGTTTTACAAAGAGGTAGGTTAAGTCAGTGGTTGCTGTGTATCATTTCATATGCTTCTTTTGAATTAAAATGAAATGACAAGTGAAAATCAATTATATTCGCCGAAGAGTACTATTGGTACGATTGACCAAATTATTTTCCTGCTCTTGGAAGGCAGCACAGATTTTGTACCCTGAAGTAGGATTTGGCCTTCTGAATTTTAGGCATCTAAAAGGGAGATAACTAGTCTGAATCATCTTTCCTCATTCTAGGGTTAATGGAGAGAAAATGTAATCTCCAGTAAACACTATGTCCCACTTAGCTAGGACAGGATGAAACATCGATGTGCTTAGCATGAGAGAGTCCAGACAGCTGGCTTAAATGTGGATGTTCTTAGTGTCTGGAGTCATGTGAAATGGGCCCCTATCAAAAGAAACTGCAGTCTAAATCTGCAAACCCAGCCTAAGGTGTAAACCCACTTAGCACACCAGTGAAGCTTCATTGAAGTGTGGGCATCTGTGTAGCATCATAGTTAAAAAATCTTCCTGTAAAATTTAGAATATTCTAAACCTCTAAGGTTTACAGAAGGATTTGAAAGACCAAAGGCAATTTTTTGATACTTGAGAATAGGAGAGCATTTCTGGCACACTGTAACAGAGATCGAATTATTGCATCCACCCCTCCTGCTACCTCCACCCCCAAAATCTGAAAACTTCCTGATTTGTGTTCATCAATAATTAAGAGCCCATCAGCAATACTCAGAGGGAGCTTGCATTGCACTTCTGAGCAGCCAGTTAGTAATATACGGTGGAGAGATCCTCTTTTTCAAATCCCAGGGCTCCAGGCCATGCAATGCTAGTATTGCATTTTCAATTAGCTTCTGAGTGAATGCTTGGCATATGTAGAAGTGAGCTGGTGCACAATTAGCTTATTGTTCCTTTCAGCTTTCTGCTGAGAGGATCTGAAGGACTGCTGAAGAGAGGGGAGAGAGGGGAAAAAAATAAAATAGCCAAGCCTGTGTCATCTCTGTGGATGTGGAATAAGGGAGTTGCTCGATTCCCGCAGATTCCCGTGCTAAGTCGGGAGTTACAGCTGTTCCTGCGGAGCACTCAGCCTGGCTGTGGAGAGAGCGCCCAGGGAGAGGTGCAGACCCAGACTCAAGCTCCAGGCTCTTCTCTCATCTGACTCACCTCAGCATCACGATGGAGCCCAACAGCCCCAAAAAAATACAGTTTGCTGTGCCCCTGTTTCAGAGTCAAATAGATCCTGAGGCAGCTGAGCAGGTAAGGAAGATGAGTTTCTTTTGCTGTTTTGAGGGAATGAGATAGGATCAGGTAATATTTGTGGCCTAAATGCTTTCCTAACTTACATTAGTGAAACCGTAGATTAAATGCTCTGGATATAGCGATGTCTGGATATACCTTAAGAGGGAGAAGGATATGTCCTCTAGCCAGATTCAGGCTTCTTTACCTTGGGTAGGTTTATTCAGTACATATTTGCTGTGCCTTTTCTGTAACTGCATTTGTACCCTAATACATACACCTTATATGAATACATATTCTCAAGAAATCAACTCAAGTATATTATTTGCATGTAAAGCAAAATATAAGGCTGATAACAGGTACCAAATGGAAATACTGGGCAGAAGACAGTCTATTTACCCTTCATTTTAACACAAGAAAATACAATTATGTTTTGGAAAGTAGTCATCACTTCAGTTACTTCCTGTATTTCCCATGATTTTTATACAGCCTTCTTTCTGCCATTTTTACAGTGTTTTTACATGTTTGAAAAATACATACATATAGAAATATGCCTGACTTATGTCCACACTGGAATTATGTGTGTGCTATTGTAAGTTTTGACTCACTCCCAAAACATACCCATACCTATAATATATATAGCAATACAGATGTCTAAGGAGGAAAAGATATCTATTACTGTGTACAGATATGCGTAGATGTGCATAAAAAAGGTTACAGGAATCTTGTGAGAAAAGCTGGATAAATCATAATTAGGTGACCTATTATATTTCTCCCAGTGCAAGTCCTTCTCAACATTTGCTTCTATTTGGGTAAGTCTACTTTTAGATGATAGCAGGGGAATATTATAACCTTGACGGTTGTGTACCCTTAGCTATGGAAGTATTTGCAACTTTAGGACAGGTATCTGGTTTCCTGAATATTCTGATGTCATGTCTCTTAAAAGGCCAGAATATGATGAGTTGTGAGTGACCACTGAATGCAGAAATACTAGAAGGGTGCAGAAGAGAATTGCTGCGGGTCTTCGTTTTGTCCTTAGGTACTTCTGAGCTGCAAGATGTCTGTACCTGATAGAACAGTTCTGCAATGAATTCAAGCAGAATGTGTTCTGGTATTTTTCTTAAATCTGTGGGAATCATAGGATTAGGATTTCCTGGAATTCCCATGGCTTTTGAAATGCTGCATGGTATTTGTGGGCAGTTGGGTTTTTTTTGTGTTGTGAGTTAAATTCCAAGTGCTATACAGTTTCACTGTGGGTGTGTGTTGAAATTAAAGTTGTAAATTCTGCTGTCAGCTACAATTACACTAATCTGGAATAAACCCATTAACCCTGATGATGTAATTTTCCATTTACACCTCTGAAAGCAAAATTTGAACCCAGTTAAATACAGATGTTGGCTCAGCAAGTGAAAAAGAACAAACACACTGACATTGAGGCTTTCTGTCAGAATGGTTTCTAGCTTAACTACTCTTGGTCCCTCTCTTAAATTCAATAGAATATCAAGCCCAGAGGCTTTAGTGAAGCAACACAAAGCTTTCAATGCAAATGTGTGCATTATAGGAGGATAGGCCAATACCATGCAGTTCAGCCACTGTTAATGGAACAAGAGTAGTTACCCAGATAAACTCTGAATAAGAAGAATTGCGTACAATTCGGGTTTATATGTTGGTATATGAAGATCTGTTGTATAGTGCTTTTAGGAAACATTCTTTTGAATTGAAGATTTTTTAGCTACAGAGCAGTAGGAACACCACTTGCCACAGTCTAGAAGCACAGAATCATTGGATGGCGTACCTGCAATATCAACTCTGAAGTGTACTTACAACATATTATTGTTACTTGTGAGACCTATGATAGTATTAGGCATTTGCACATACAAGCTCACAAAGTACTGCAATCCTCTTCTTGAATCAAAGCTAAATATCAATATTTTAAGATATGACTGGTATTTGTCAGCAATCTGTCCGAAAAACTAAATTAAATTGATTGCAAATCTTAAAAGTACTTTGGAAAGGTCTCCCCATGCTTTTGCTCTCCCTGTACAAGCAGCAGCATGACTCTGATCACTGTCAGACCAGATGAGCAGCCAGTAAGACCTTGAAGTGCTGGTGTTCTTTAAGTAGTTTGGTTTTTTAAACTTTGCCTGGTCTATACTCAGAATGACACTAGAAGAAATTTTTGCTTTGCTTTGCTTTCTGTGTGGGGCAGTTTAAGGACCCTAATGACTCTCCTTGGTTTATACCTGTTACAGATCAGGAAAAGAAGGCCTACGCCGGCATCCCTTGTCATCATGAATGAACACATGCCTCCAGGTAAGTGCCAACATACCTTCTAAACCACTGCACTTGTATAAACAAGATTGTCTGAAAACCGGTTTTATTAACTACGTGATTTTTAAAATCCAGCGTTAATTTCATAGCTCTAAATATCAAATAAGGGATCTTAGAACTTTGGAGTAAATCCCATGAACAGATGTAATTCTTGGTCTTCAGATAATGCCAATAATTTCACAGTTTTATCCTCTATGTAAATCTTTTGTTATACATACGAAGAGAATTAATATGATCCAGATCCAGCACTTCCATCCACAAATATATTCTTTCCCTGAGTGGATACCTATGAAGTCCAAGCTCTAGAGACCCCAGGGTGGTTTCAGGGTTAATTCAACCAAGGGAATTGCTTCTACTAAACAGGTTCTTTTCTAGTTTTCTGATGAAACATGTAATTTGTGTTTTCATTATTCTTTTTCAACTGTGAATACACTATTTTCATCCAAGACTCCCCCCAGAAGATTTTCTGTGGGATGGGATGATTTGAGGTTGCAACATAGTTTGTCACATAAATGTGATTTCAGAAAGATTCTTTAATAAGCTCTTTAGGGAGTATTATAAGCAAAAAAAGCTCTGCAAAAATGGATTGCAGGAAAAAATCCTCGACATATAATCCCTTTGAAAAACAGTACCTACTTTATATCAAACTTTTCCTTTGTAGTGCTCTGCAACATTTTTTCCCTGCCTTCTCTCATAATCATCTGAATCCCCTTTAAAAGCAGTTCAGGCATTTTCTCACCAATGTGTCTCTAAGGTCAGTACCGTGTGCACTGGCACTTCCATGAAACAAAACCATCCTAGCTCTTTCATGATCTCTACTTGCTGCACTGTGCTGCTGGTCCCCACGTCTGATCAACATCACCAGTAGCTGAAGTTGCTCCGAAATGTACAGAAAGAAACATTTAGAAAGCACTGCTCTTGGAGCTGAGGTCATTGCAGCTCAGCACAGAGATTAGCTAAGGTCAAGCATGTCATATGGCTAAGGTCACTGACAGTGACCCATGTAACACCAATCCCAGTTTAGCAAGTAGCTTTCTGGCCTGAATTTCATCCAGTTCAGCTGTCAGTAATGGTGCATGAAATATCTGCCTTAGTCTGACTTTCCTTACCTTAATGGGATCTGCAGCATCTGTGTTGCTAGGACTTAATTTAAAGCAAATTCACCTTGACTGTTAATCTCTTTTGCAATTCACTTTGTACACTTTGTACTGTCATATTTCCTTTTATAAACAGATATTTGGTACAATACCAGATCAAAACCAAACAGAGAATAAGAACTCTTTAATTTACAGGAAATTTTACTGTAAACAAAGTGGTGCAGGTCTGTTATCACCTTTCCTGCAATGTTCATAATGAATCTTTAAATAAATCATTTCTATTATGAGTCAGGATTGCTGCAAGTTTCAGTCAACTTCCATATAATCCCAAGAGTTAGTATTTGTCTTCACTTATTTATTTTATTTGTTTAGGTATTATCACTCTTTCTTGATATCGTGAACTGATATTAATGAAATTATTCTTTGGTTAAATTACAATCTTGTCTTGTTCATAAATTTTATATAAGCTCAGATAAAAATAAAATCTTTAAAAGCAGCTTCATTTTCCTGCACCTCACCATGTGGTTCATGCATGAGCATCTGCATGCATATATCCATATGGTGTACATGGTATGGGCAAGTGTTTTGAACAAGGTGTGTGCATGTAGCTGTGTAACCTGCTGGACATAAGGACTGTAAAGCCAGGTTGGAAAGGCAGACAATAGCTTTACAATGCTAATACTTAAACAAATCCATATGGTCTTGATCTTGCAAGGTGCTCTGCAACTTCTGAAATTATTGTATATCTTCAGCTTTCAGAGACAGCTAGTCCTAGGGGCTCTTGACACATTGCTGACTAAGCACCAAAATGCTGATCAGTTATTGGATTTTGAATACTATTCAGTGGGATGCTGAATATAATTTCTCTCAAAAAATAGTAAATTCATCAGTGCCCATGGTTGCAGTCAATAATAAAAGTAAGGGTGCTAGCTTGACACTCCAGAAAATTGCTTTAGAAGTGTGATTCCCTAGATCAACGGGGAAATGGAGCAGCAGATAATTCCAGTGATAAGCCACCTTTTAAATTAGAGCTGGGCTAAACCAGAATCTTGTCTTTTGAATTTTACCCACTGGAGTACTCCACTTCCTGCATTAGGAGCAAACAGCTCGTGAAGCATATGCTTCCAAGAGTTTGAAATACGTGTCCTAATGCAATTCTAAATGTTTGGATGCCTCTGCAAAGTTTACTTAAATTATCTAAACTTCTTTTATTTTGAAAAACAGAGACAGGCGTTTTTCTAAGGATCGGACTTTTCTATAGCCTTCTGTTACAGCTGCTTCTGATTGCAGCAGGAAAAAAGGCAGCATTTTTGTTGTATTCTGGTGCTCTGGATGCAGACCAGTCCGGAAACCAGAAGGCAGTAAAATGTGTTTGGACATTTCAGAAGTTCATAATAAATTCAGTTAGAGTTTTGCTGTACAAAGATCTGAAAGCTGTTTTCTACTAAGGCTTATCATCCATCCCTGATATCTGCTACGGTTTTGACAGGAATATGTCTTCACTGATTTAGGTCAGGTCAATTGTGCTATAAAGTGAAGATGGAATATCTACTGAGGCTAAGTAATTTTAAACCGATGACAGCTACTCAAAAACTGTAAGAGTCTGCTTGGCTTCCTTGCTCCCAAGGAGACAGTGTTAGACCACACAATGATTTAAAGACAGGTGATAGATGTGACTGCAGGAGCTAATATCCAGTTTGTATCATCATTGGCTGTTGCATTTTCTCATGTTCACTCTGGTGAGCATCAAGTATAATTGCAATCAATGTCAACAAAAGAGAAATGTGAATTTCAGCAGCAACAGCAATTGCAATGGACAAAATGAACTTGTGGAGCAACATAGCTATGAATAAACCCTTAAGTCTTTCTGTAAGTGCTCTGTAAGGTGCTCTTTGATGGGTTATGTCACATTTGAGCAGAGAAACTAGCACTAGCAAACTCAAGTTATGAAGCGGCTTAAATCTATTGTGCTTCAGTTGCCATCAATGGAGCTATATTTTCTGAGTATCTGATGTTTGATTGCATAATATCTAATCAGTTTTACTTTGTTTGAAATTACAAGACCCTTTTACTATCTGTGAGGGCAAAGACAAGTTTTAGGTGACATATCTACAAAAATGTGCAGCATCTCATCCTGTGCAGGATGCTGCATGGGTTACTGGGGTAACCATTTGTATCCTGCTATAGCCACAGTTGCTCTATGTCCATCTTTTATAAAAGGAACTTACGCACGTGCTTAGTTTTAAAGACATATTAGCTATTGTGCTGCACAAGAGTTTAACCTAACACTTGTTAAAGCTCTCCTGCTTCCTATTTCTCTTGCAACATCATTGGAGCCAACAGAAACTGAATATCACCATACCCTAACAGCAACCTTTTCTGTATACAGACAACCTCCTGTCTCCTTACCACGCATAGCAGAATGTATATGGAAATCAATTCCTATTATCTGAAATAAAAGTCTGGCCATGCTTTAAACTAGCAGAATATCATACTGCAATGGCTCAAGGAAAAGCTGGTAGCAAAGTAGAGAAGTGATAGCTGAGGGAGGAAAGCCTGTCAGACCACAACTCAGGTTTAATGCAATTAAGGCTTGCTGTGATCAGAAAACAATGCCAGTGTTCCTGTACAGACTGGCTTTGTCACAGAGCCAACACAACATCAAACAGTCAGGCTGGCAAAGGCTGTTCAACTTGTGTCAAAATGTACATCCTTCTTAAAGCATTATGATATGGGTAAACATTAGGACAAACTTCTGAGTTTCTGAATTTTCTATGTATTAACTTTTCTCAGCTCCCCTTTCTGCTCTGTTGCCTGTTTTGACTTCCTTGCTTGTAATGTAAATGTTACTCAGTGTTTGGAAATAAGAAAAACATAGCAATGTGTTTTGGTAACTCCTCTCCAGAGCTGCGTTTTTGTGTTTTGCAAATCTCATTTCAAGGCTGAAAGGGTATCTTATCACTGCAAAAGCAATCTAAAACATATTCCAAGTACAACTCAGTATATCTGAGGTTACTAAAGGCTGGAAATCATAACTTGAAGAAAAGCAAGCTGTGCCTGTCTCCAAAGAACATGCTTGCAGCTTCTCTTTGGTCATTAGCAGTTTTTGTTTCTTGTTCCTAGCTGATTTTCCATTATCCAGAAAGGGATTCATGCCTTTCAGCTTACTGCCATTTCCCCAGAGCTCTGCTGGGATGCCTCAGGAGCAGCCTCTGTATTCAGTGCAGTAGCAAACACACAGCCAGATTGGTGGCAGGAGGAAAAACGGTCTTTACACCTGTGTGAATTCCATGACAACACAAAGCAGTTGAGGTTTTTTTATGCTGAATTGGTTCTAGACACTCACGGACTTTCCCTGCACAATAAATCTCATTACCACATAGAGATGAGCTTTCCTGGTGATGCAAACTGTACCAGTGCCACAACCTTGAGGGGATAAATGCAATATGTTCTGCCCAATGTTAATGTTTGTGACTAATGTTAGTTAGATGATGCTTTTAGATGAACGAATATGTTTGGTTTACAACTAGTGGTCACATTTTTTTGTCCCAAGACAAAATAAAGTGAGATCAAAAAAGACTAAGTAGGAGGCAGCTGGTTTGGGGCATTGTCAAGCAGTTCTGTTATACTTTCTCAGGGAAAAATCACATTGAAACTTGAATCAGTGGATAACTCTTGGTCTCAGAGTTCATGAAAAATGATATGTTTTTCAAAAGCTTGAGATTCTGGTAGGACATACTGCTTACTTTGGGTAAAGAACTAGAGAGGGAGTAAGCTAAATAGCAGCTGTTTTAAATTGCAAATTTAGTCTTCTAATGTGGTAGTAAAGCATTCAGTAAAGCAGTACAGCAGTACAAAATGTGCCATTAACTGTATCTTTTTTTC